TCCGCTGCCTTCTCAAACCTAGCCTTTAGATTTTGTAAATATGTATAAACAGGAGTTGCATCTAATTGTAAATTTTCATGTTTCCCTGTCCATGATGATTTTAATATCGACAGAGGTCCCTGAGGTGTCCTGCCGTACATGAGTTGAAATGGAGCCACCCCAGTTGTTGAGTTGGGTACTTCTCTATAGGCCCACAATACATAAGGAATTTGCAAATGCCACCCTCTACCTTCTTCTCTGATGACATGATGCAACATTCTTTTTAAAGTACCATTAAACCGTTCAACTAATCCATTAGCTTGAGGATATCCAGGGGTCGAAAACTTAGGACTGGCCCCTATTCGTCTCTCTCAAATTCTTGAGTCAAATCTGCTTTAAAATTTGTTCCATTGTCACATGCAATTACATTTGGAATACCCGTTCTTGAAAAAATATGTAATAACTCCTCACAAGTCGACTTGGCGGAGAGGCTAGTTAGAGGTATTGCTTCTGCCCATCTGGTATGCTGATCAACTAAGCATAATATATACTTATGACCCTTAGAACTGGGAGGATCAATCGGACCTATCACATCAATGTTTACAATTTGGAAGGGCAGATCTGGCCTCGTTACTGGGGTGATTGGTGTCCTATCAACAGTTTTAATTGGTCTAGTCAACTGGCACTCTTTACATGCCTCGCAAAATTTCTGAACGTCTAATTCTCTAATTCTCTCCACAGTTTTCTTTACCCCCATGTGGCCACTAAACACCGAGCAATGTGCTAACTGCAAGACTTCCTCCCTTCGACTCTTAGGTACAACTAATTGCCCCACACTTTCCCCAAGAATTTTGTCCTTATGAAAGAGAAAGTTATCCACTGTATAATAATTCCCCTTTCCTTTCTGAGCATTCTCCCATGCTCCTACCAGAGATTCACAAGTCTCCTGCTCTCTTCTAAATACATCATCCGCTGTACATAGTCTTCCTGGCTGAGGTTCTTGGCTTTCACTTGATTCCACCTTCCCTTTCTCATTGAGATTCCTTCCCATACTAGCGTTTCCTTCTAGTTTCCCTGTGTTTACCTTCACAGACTTTTCCTTTCTCCTAACCTCTGAGATGTTTGTGTCTTCTTCAGGTAAGTTTTCCACCCCTTCACCTGTGTCATATAACCGACCTCCTAACATGGTGAATACTTCCGGAGGAAGCAACACATCCTCTGCCAGCGATTCTGCAACTGCACACAAAATCTCTTGATGTGTAACATTGGCACTTTCTCCTACAGTAATACTCAGTGGAATGCTTACCAAAGGGCATTTAACAGCTGGACCAAATATACCTTTCAAATATATACTCGATCCTTCCTTCAGTTGGAGACTTTTGGTTAACTCTTTCTTAACCACCGTAATTTCTGTTCCTGAATCAACGAGGGCCTTCCCTATTGTTCCATTCACACTAATAGGAACCCTTTTCAACTCACACAGCTTATAGTCGTTTACATCCCCTGACTTCCTCAAAGGATCCACACGAGCTACCACAACTTTGTCCTCTAGGATATCATTATCCTGATCTTTCTTTACCCAGTTTACCCTGGCTTTATCCTTTTCCTCATTTCTGTTATACTGCCTAGAACCTTTAATCTGAGGACAGTGCCTTTTAAAATGTGAAGCTGAACCACATACAAAACATGTTAAACCTTTAACGTTCCCTGTGGTTTTCCCTATGGTTTCTGACGTATGCCGACTGCCTCGTCTTTCTTCGACCTTAGGTTTCTCACCTACTGCCTGATTTAAAATCTTAGTTTCACAAGCTTCCCTACGTACGTTGTAGGACTTCCCTTTAGCCGCAAAGAATATGTCACACTCCTTTCCAAGCTCTCTTGGCTTGAACCACGAGTCTCCCTGCCTTATACCTATGTGTACTGCAGTTTCCGTATCAAGGGTCTGGTAGATTTTGTCCGCTACCACCAACTGATTAAGACCTTCAAAGTCTGTCACCCCCCTTGATTTCACATAATTTTCCCACATGGCAGTAACTCTAGTAGAAAACTGGCCAAAGGTCTCTTCTGAACTTCGTCTCGTTTTTCTGAAATTCTCCAGGCATACCTGAGGTGAATGTTTAAATTCTTTCAACACAATTTCCTTCATTTCCTCATAATTTCCTCATAATTCCCATACTTGTCCTCGCTTATCAATGTTAATGACTTTGCCGCTTTATCTACTAAAAGGTAAATCAAAATGTTGGCCTTATGCTCATCATCAGGGACACTTTCATTGACATAAGCTCTTTCTAAACTGGAGAAGAAATAGTCCCAGCCATCTGCTTTACTTGGAACCTTTACTGTCAATAATCTGATTGTCCTCGTTAACTCTTCTACTGATCTTTCCTTCCCATTCTCCCCCCGTTCGGGTGTAGTACTCCTATTCGAGTAACGATCCTGGCAATCTACCTTATACTTCTCAATGGCAATCCGCTCCTCTGCCTCTAACTTTAGTTTATATTCCCTTTCCTGCCTTTCCTTCTCCTCCTTTGCCTCCCTATCTGTAATGATAACACTCAGAAGATCCTTTGCTACCTGCTTCTCATAGCTTTCACTAGCAAGAATCTTTTCCCTCAAGTCCAAAATCCTAAATGTAGGCAACACTTCAACACCAAACTCTTGTGCAAGGGCGACTAGATCAGCCTTTCTAGATTTGGCCAAAAATGACATTATGCGACTTTATGTTCAACTTAATTAAAATAACAGAAAATTAAAACTAAATTTCCTTACATAAAATTATACATTAAGTTAAATCCTTAACTGCTGTTGAATCATAAACACATGGTATCTGCATTAAATATGCACAACATCCAAATACTCAATAAATAAAAAAAAACATGTATGTTTATATATAAGCATTTGAAAATTAATGCAATCATATCTCATAAATAAAACACAAGCATTACTTAAATTAATGATCATTCACTCATATAATAAAAGATAAATGCACTTTCAAGTTAATTCAAGTCTCATATGATAATCACACTGATAATTTTTGTCTTATAAAATACTTGTTAAAGTGTACCTTTACATTAACAGCAAATTTTTCATAAACACAAAAACATAAATAAATCACTTAACGAGAGAACCTGGTAGAAGATAACTATTCCACTTAATAAGCTTCGCAGCATTCGTAAGGAATTCACTTGAGCTTTTTCCGAGTCGACAAATATACATCCGACCAGCTGCCACCACTGTCATACAATCGATCCTTTGATCAATTCATCTTTGTCGGTTCGTTTTCCATCCACTTATGAATGTTATTAGTCAACTCTATTTGCAGGAAATAAACTGGGACACTTATGCAGGTTTAACAATAACATGAGCTATATTTTAATTTTGTAAATACAGTTTTAACTTTTCACAAAGTATTGCTTTTATTCACATTTACATCAAACGCACAAGTAATACATTGCATCTCTCAGCTTCTTAACAAAAAAAAAAAAAAAAAAAAAAAAAACTCTACTCTCGGAATACAGCCAAACTAATTTCAAATTTTTTTTTCTCACGAGCATGCCGTCCTTCTCGCATCAAGCACGTTTCTTCTTCTCGTTGCCAGATATTTTCCCCTCTCCTTTCAGATAAACTGTTTTTTCACACGAGCATGCCGTCCTTCTCGCATCAAGCACGCTTCTTCTTTTCGTTGCCAGATTTTCTTCTCTCCCCTTTCAGCTATAAGTCTGTTCTTCCGGCAGGTTTGGTCGGTAGCATAGAGTATGTGCATGACATACTTATTCAGTATTTTATTCGAATATTCTGATAGATAAATGTGCAATTATGGGCAGACAATTTAAAACTTGGGAGGAACTAGATTTTATAGAAAATATACATAGATAAGCAGACTGCTTGGAACTTGGTCAATAATGCTCTGAAATCGTGATGTACCCGGCTTTGTTAAATGGTGTCAATTGGCTCTGGATGTAACAAAGTATTGGCAAGGCAGATCAAGGCAAAAACTGTTTGGAATGTGAAGATATGGCTTTTATATCATGTCCTAAACCAATTCCCATAATCCAATCTAAACGCTTATATGGACTGAAATACGTATAGTCAGAAAAGCACACAAAAGAATCCAAAATTTTTTGCAAGAGACCCAATAAAAAATATTGAAATAGCATCAGAAATTATTGAAAATCTTGTTTTCTGAATGCCGAAAATATTGAAAACCACGTTAACAAAACGACACCTTAAGTTACTGGGAATCTTGTCATTTCCATCACTTACTGAACAGTTAACTGGATATAAATGATACTAGAAAAAAAAAAAAAAAAAAAAAAAAAAAAAAGAAAGAAATTCTTAAGATATTAGTTAAGTACAGAAAAAAAGACAGTTTCAAAATTTAAAAAAATGGATGCGTCGTTTCCAAGAGCTGTCTCTATAAAGCAAACGCAATGTTGTTTTGCAATAGACCGAATCTCGTCTGAATTGCTACTTTTGGGAATTTGCGATATTCCACGAGCGTTAAGGAAAATTTCAGTTCATCTTTCCAATCTCCTTGAGCTGCTTATAATCTCTATAAGAAACGTTACTCATCTAAGTATGCATTCATCTGATACCCAGTTATATAAGTAAATTTCTACGAAACCGTAGCAGGCAACAATAATAAAAAAAGGCATTTCGGAGATCGCTTTAATAGATATTCCGGTTCCCTTAACACAAAGTTCATATTAGAGAAGTCTGTAATTACTAATATCCATGGTTATTTATATTCAGAGAAATACAGCTTTTTTCCAGAAGTGGTCACCATGAAATGTTTCGCTGTATTTGGTTATCTTTAAAATGATTGTAAAACATGAAATATTTTTCGTTTCACGTTTATTTTTTAAAATTATTTATTTATTCAGTTTCCTGAATTCATGCAATCACTCCTGAAAAAATTCTGAGAAATCTTTTTTATCTGTTTCTTGCTTTTTAAAATTAAACCGTACATATAAAAATATTAAATTAGAAACATTAAATAGAAAAAAGTAAAATTTATTTACTTGGTGCACTGGTTCCTGCGATTTCCAATCTAATATTTCCCGGAGAATTAAATTTCTTCATGCTTTTCCGAAATACTATATCGGTGTCTTTCAAAGCTGGGTCAGTAAGAAGCATTCCTTTATAACCACCATAGCGAATTTGAAAAGCACTGCAATGTTTGTCGTGTCCAAGAGCTTTGTGCACCTGTTTATGAAAATTCTGAATGAAAATCATATAACAGTCTCTTCTACATTCTTCTTTCGTAGCAACAAATTTTACTAATCTGTTTCATTGTATTTAACAAAGGATGAACACTCGGATGTTTTTCGACAATACACACAGTCCAGTCACATTAATGTGACCACCTGTCCAAAAGCCAGAATAACCACCTTTCGCAGAGCAGACCGCTGCGAGACGTGCAGGAACAGAGTCAGTTAGGTTCTTGAGGGCGTTTCACTGGGATGGTGAGCCAGGCTGATTTCAGTGCAGTAACCAGCTGAGCTACGTTAAGGGGTTGAGGATCCATGGCGCGAAAAACACAATCGAGTTGGTCCCACAGATTCTCTATTGGGTTTGCTAGTCCGCTGAATTTGCTGGCCAGGGAGTACTGCAAACTCATCGTGATACTCTTCGAATCACGCGCGTATACTGCGAGCTGTATGACACTACACTTCGCATTGTCCTACTGGTTTATTCTGAGGAAAAATAATTCGCATGTAGGGGTGTACATGGTCCGCAAGGACAGATGCGTATTTCTGTTGATCCATCGTGCCTTCCACAATGATGAGTGCACCCACTGAATGCCACGAAAACATTTCTCACACCACAATGCTCCTTTCTCCAGCTCGGACCTCTTTCGGCAATTGTTGCAGGGTGATTGCTTTTTACGGCGTTTCAAGCAGTATACGCAAACATCCATCTGTCCGATAGAGCATAAAACGTAATTCATCGGAAAAAGGCTACCTGTCGCCACTCAGTGGACATCCAGTTGCAGTACTGGCGTGCAAATTCCAGCCTTCGTCGCCGATGAACTGCAGTCAGTATAGGTGTTTTAACCAGGCGTCTGCTTCCAGAGGCTCATACGCCGCAAAGTTCGCTGAACCTTCGTTGAGGAGACACCGTTGGTAGCCCCTTGGTTCATCTGGGCGGTCAGTTGCTCAACGGTTTGGACGTCTAATTTGCCCGAACACATCTCCGCAGCCGCCGTTCACCTTTGTCATCTATAGCCCGTGGTGCACATTTGCCACGTCGCTGACTTATGGATGCTGCCATTTTGCCATACACGGTCTACTTTTGATCGTGTTTCTGATACTCACAGACACCCTCTATATATGCTCGACTGCAGCGTGCTACCACCTGCTTTCTATGATTGGTTATTTCATGCTGGCGTCAAAAGTATGTGGTGGTAACATTAATATGACTTGACTGTGTATATCAAATTTCTCTGCTGACGTTTTTCGGCAGGTCGCCATGTATTCGATTTGAAAAAAAAATTAGTCAAAACGAAAATACGTCCCTGCTTACCTATAGAAAAAAACACCATTTCAGGCTTAAATAAAGAAGTTAGTTTAATTCATAGTAAACAAACCGTTTTTCGCTTCATTTGATGCATTGGAACAATAATTCATTTGTCTGCAGTTTCATCTCAGCATTTAAATTTAGCTTATTGAAATTATAAATTAACTGTAAACGTTTTATTTGTCTCTTAATATTTTGACAACTCTTATAACAAGACTGTTTGTAAATTTATTGACGTAACATCGATATATACTCTGACAGCTATTTACGATCTGCCTCCAATCTAAAAATCTATTTTTATACAGTGCTTTGTAGTAGCAAGGAAGTATCAATTACAGTAATAAAATAATATAATCTTTAACAAAAAAAGAGTTTAGTTTTCATTATTTTTTAACTTTTAACATTTTTTAATTTCAGTTTTTATTGTTGTTCTATGCGGAAGTGCTTTCTTTAGGGAATCTCAAAATAAGTCGAGAATTGAAAGAAATCAGTCGAGGGAATGAGCGGTTTGTTTGAGTTGATTCCAGCGATCCCACAACCATTGTAATGTAACTGTACTCTTTATTGTTATAATAAATGCCGCTGAGCTACAGATGGTGGATAGCACCCATCAACAGAGCCGGAAAGCCGGAAAGTTTAAATGACGGTGCGGCTGCTTTATTGACGGTCTTCTGCATAACTACAGTGGTTTTCAGTTAGTTTCTTTTTCTTTTAAGTTCAGAAATCGTGCATAAACTAGTTTGGTTGATCATTTAGACATGGTAAAGCACATCAAGGCTATCTGACTAAGGGAAGGAAGGACTTCACGAAAGGCTTTACTATGAGAAAGTGATTCGTGTTCATGTTGCACATAGGCGAAAATCACGAAAACCATGCAGCCACCTCATTCGCCTGGTTTGGACTCTGCGACAAACTACCAGTATTCAGCAGTCTTATACTATCTCTGAGCTACTGGTGGGAATGCTTTAATTAAGAGCCACATTATTAGATTCTAATTTATTGTTTGATTTGCAAATATTTAAACTATTACTATGTTATCAGGCACAAAAAGCAGAGCTTTGTTAACGCCTTAGTTTTTAAATTACCAAGGCGTAATACAAATGAACGTTCAGTTACATTTGCTATTGTTGTATTCACTTGGTATTTTTAGAATCTAATTTAAAGGTAGTACGATTATGTTATTTACCCAAGGAAGAATGAACAGGTATTTAAATTAAGTGGAACAGTGCTGGTATTTTAAAGGTTTGGCTGAGTGGCTGACTTAGCCACTCAGCCGAGCATTGAGTGACTTAGCCACTCAGCCACTCAGCTGAGATAGCTAAGAATTAAGCAGACGGTTTTCTTACGTTATTCAGTAGGAGACCGTTCTGTTGCACGAAAATACACCTTACCCGTCTTCGGTCAATAACCACTTCACAGACCAGCTCTATCTTGAAAATAAGTATGTGTACTTCGTCATCCCGCGTGTTCTCCAGATTTGCGTCCTTGCGATGATCTTCGCTTTGAAAGGAAAGTTTTTTTCTGACAAAGAAGGGATAAAAAGAATGCGACATTCGATTATATTCTTAGAGCCATGCCAGAAACAAAACTCTACAAGCCTTCTCTTTTAATTACCTGTCGTATTTGTATTAAGACAATGAACAATCAATCAATCAATGTAAACTCCACAACGTTTATATTTTTAGTACATTTTGATTATCTAATTGCCATACTGTGAATTTACACTAAAACGTCGATTACTTCAACTTCAGTTAGTCGAAATTGACATTATGGTTGTCGGAACTAGAAATTCGAAGGGAAGTCTAACTATCGAAACATAGAGTTCGAAACATATACTAATTGAAAGCCAAATATTTAATGTTTGTTTTTTGAGGGGTGTGTTTCTTCAGTTTTGGCTCACTGACTGGACTATATTTGGGATTGATTATTTCGGTTTTTCCCTAAAAGCGAAAAGTTCTACAAGGGAAATTTAGATAGTGTGGGCAAGCGCTGTACTTTTGAAGCGTGAGCTTCTGGTTTTACGCTTACTGCTGGTTAACGTGGAGTAGCAGCTATTACTTTGCTGTCACTAGATTTTAGGTAGATAGGTTACAGAGGACGGGGACGCATGGTGTCTAACAGAGGTAAACAGGCATGTGTCCCACGCCCTCCTCTAACAAGTGCAATAACTCCCTGGAGCCTCACGAGGGTGCACCGGAAGTTTATTGAGGTTTTCAAACGGAAGTACATGGCCTTATAAGGGCATTAGTAGGATAGTATTACAGGTCGAAAAGACAAGCTGTGGTGTTAGAGATGGTAAGTAGTTAAAGTAAAAATACAAAAAGACATACACATAAACAAATAATAAATACACAAAACACAAAGCGCAAAATACATAAATACAACACATAAAACAGGTACTAGGCACTTAAAGCACAAAAAGACATACATACATATTAATAAGCATGAATACAGATGGGAATGCACAGGCACATAGAGGTGCGAAAGGCACATGAGAATATAGCGTAAATGATATGAGTGCATGTTGACAAATGAGATCAAATAGATTAGAAATGTTAGTATAAATGTGTAAGGGTTATGGACGTGTGGTCACGTGATGGCATGTTAATTTCTCGACTGGAGTACATGAAGGCTGGAGCACAAAGCTAGTGTTGGGCAGTTCTGCACTACATAAATACAGGTACACCTTGAATGATGAGTTCGTGAATACTCATGTGTGCAGATGAGTGCAGTTAGGATTACGTAAGGTGTTCATTGTAGCGTCAGACACTGATATAGCACTTATTAAAAACACTGATTAAAATAGCACTAGGATGCTGTAGTAGCACTAATTACTGGGGCAGTGCCCCAGAAACAATTAATGCATAGAGAGGCGCACAAACGTGAGGCACACAAACGTTCACTAACACTGCACTAGAAGATGCTTTTTCACATGCTATTGAAGGGATTACACACATATCATTAAGGAAGCATTACCCTTCTCACTAAGGAGATGTTATGCACTTGCGAATTATTAGTATTGCACAATTTAAATTGGGGCTTAAACACACAAAGCTGTTGTGATGAGCAGATATTGTAAAATCCACTGGACTAGTGGCACAGCTTATCGTCAGTATACCAGAGCGTGGAGGCCGAAATCTGCTGACAGCATCACTTTAACACGGTTGACAAAGGTCTGTGCCCAATGCCGCGATTGTATTCATGATGCTGGAGATTGAATTAACCGTTCCCTTATGCCTTATAAGAAAACGGCGATGGGCGTCCTTATTATTTGCAGTTAGCGGGACATGGTGTGCAGCCGCCATTCAAATACGTAACGATCTCGTAACCGTTATGATCTAGTGGTTTTAGATAATAGTATTATCTGAGCCTTGTTACAGTAATTACGCTGCTTGTTAATATCTTCGAATATTTAGTTTAGTTCTTGTTATTTGAGTTACCGGCTCGGTGAGGCGTAGTTTGTTAGCGCCAAGTCGACGCACTGTGAATTTTAAACAGTTTAATAAAGGGTCCTTTTCCCCTTCTCCTGTGTGGTTCTTACACATATTTTTTCTACACATACTTCTTCTCCCTTCGAGGATATTTCTCCTTTGCTTCAAGATTTACAATCCATCTCGTCTTCCTTCCGAGATCCACACATAATTTGTGGAGACTTCAATTCACATAATTAGCTTTGTGGGTACAACTTCAAGTCCCAGAGGAAGGTACCTTGAGGAATTCTTCAATTCACATAATCTTGTCATTCATAATCAAGCCTCGGATTTACCTTCTTTCGAAACAATGTATGGGAGAGGGTGGCCAGATCTCGTAGTTACTTCCCATCACCTAATTAATTCGATTTCAAATTGCAAAATTGAAGAAGACAACTCCCACTCAGATCATAAATATATTACTTTTGAAATCAAAGAGAACTCAGAATCAGTTTTTAAATGAAACGTTTTTAAAATTACTAAAAAGAAAGAAAAGAACTTTATTAAGCAAATTCAACAATCCGCACTTCCAATGACTTCTTCCTTCCAACTAAGTGCAACAAAAGAAGATCTAAATAAAGCTACAGAAGATTTTTAATAACAAAATCCAAGAAAATCTGTGAAAATACCTTTCCAATACGATCTGCAAAACCTTACTTTCATATAAATTGGTGGACTAAAGAGTTACGACGCCGCGCTCAGAAAGCATAAGGCGAGAGCATTGAAACGGAAAATGAAATCGATTACTGACGATGAATTAAGACACCAAGCCTGGCTCTCAAATTCAAAAAAGAAAATGCAAACTACAAAAAGATGATTCTCGAATCTAAATTAAGAAGTTGGCACAAATATTGTTCAAACAACTATGGCACCTTATACAAGATTGCCAGCAGTAAAATATTTAAACCGTCGCAAATCCAACTTCCCTCAAATTTGCTTTCAAGTTCTGCTGAAATTCAGGATGCCACTCTCTCAACCCTAAATTAGATTCTCGACTCTGTCTTTCTAAAAGATGCTGAAGATTCTCCTACTCAAACCAGAATCCGTAACTGCAATGACATTCCACAAACAGACAACGATATTTCTTTCTCAAAACAAGAAATAAAGCAAATAATTAAAAACCTAGCTTTAGAAAAGGCACCAGGCCCAGACGGCATCGATAACCACATTATAAAATTAATTAATAAAGCCTATCCTGACATAATCTGTCGTTTTTGTAATCGATGTATACAGCTATCTACCTTTCCTGATTGTCCTGAAAAAAATTGGTAATTATATACTCTTCAATACGAAGAATAAAAGCTCCGATGAACCTAAATCTTATCGTCCGATAAATCTTCTCCCAGCCCTGGGAAACGTTTTGGAAAGATGTCTTATTGGTCGTCTAAAATTTCATACTTACAGCAAAAACTTAATAAGCAATAACCAGTTTGGATTTCGAAGTCTACTTTCAACAAGTCATGCAATTAATTCAGCTCTTGAACAACTCAAAAACAATAAAATCAACCAACTTCATTCTGCAATAATATGTCTCGACTTAAAATCAGCTTTTGATTCTTTATGATGGCCAACAGTTTTACGAGAGCTGCGTTTTTTTAAGTGCCCTCAAAATTTATTTCTAATTATTCAAGATTACTTCAGAAACAGAATAAGTATGATTCTTTACAACAACACTGAAATTGTGCGTAATCAAGTCAGAGGATGTCCTCAGGGGTCTTGCATGAGTGCAGATCTCTGGAATATCAGTTTCAACAACATCACTGCCTATCCATGGACAGATCACTCAAAAGCTGTAGCCTTTGCAGATGATGTAGCTTTTATTACAAGTGGCCGTACCAGATACATTTTACAGAATAATTGCAACGAAACACTCCAGTTATTTAACCAACTTTGCAAAATTCAAAAACTACAAATTTCACATAGTAAGTCCCAAGTCTTAGTGATCCACAAACCAGGGCAAAATATAACTGAAGCTTTAGCTCTAAAAATTGACAATCAAAAGATCAAATCTGTTAATACAATCAAGTACCTCGGTTTAACAATCGACAAGAAATTCTCCTGGATTCCTACAAAATATTTAACTTCGTACAACATCAATAGCTAACTAACTTCGTACAACATCAATAGCTAACTGCCTACGACGTATGCATGGATATAACTGGGGCTTAATGTTACTTATTTTTTCACGATTGCAAACTATTCTGCATCTTTTACAACAGAAAAAAAAAGGTATTTTTATAGAAATACTATTCTTTAAAAATTTAAACATGCTTACCTCATTTGCCAATTTTACCGAAATCTTGCCAATGCCATCAGAAAAGCAGTAAGGCTTTTCATTTGTTACATCATACCCGCCTTCAATATCATCCTCAGTTCGAATATGGCTTGGGTCTAGCGGAACTGAGATGGCGTCTTCTGTCTGTGAGAAACATTGCCCCATTCTAGCCATGTACTTTGAAACCGAATGAATATGAGAAAACTCACCCATCCATCTTCGTATATCCGAAACTGTGTTGCCTTTTTTATCTCGAGCATATAACCAAACTCCATGATCTCGGATCTGGGAGTTTGACCATGCAAGAAATTCATACAGTCTAAAACCAATACAAATTCCTTCAAGCATGGGTTTTTCTATGGAATTATTGAATATGTCTGAATCAGCAAAAGCGGCATAGAAGCTAAGTCTCATCATATTATCATCGCGAAAAGAAACTCGTATCGCATATTCTGAATCGAAATTCCGTAGAACTCTATTTTCGTACATTATTTCTGGAGGCCATAAAAGTTGTCTTGTAGGAGTCAACGTGATTCGGCGAATCATTCTACATTTTAAAGGTACCACGTAATGCTTATAGTTTATTTCATCTTTACTGTTTAAGTAATGATTAAATTGTTTTTCAGCTTCGCACCAGAAATTAATTATCTTTCCTGAATCAACAGCTCTTAAAACATTTATTAGAGCCTTCTCCAAGCAATCTCCATCTTTGTTGCACAGCGTTTTCAGCTGCTCTATCTCTTCATTTACATTTGATGCCTGTTCGACCACAGTAAAATTTCTTTTGATTATCGCTGTCAATATGTATGTGCAACCAAAGTGGCAGAATTCAAATACAGGATCTATAGGTTTCATCTTCTTTACTGACGTGACATTCATGTAATGTATGGGTTTCTCACTACAACGGAAATGTATTCTACTCACTATTTCTTCGGCAAGGTTAGGGTCGTTTAATGAAACTTTTAACACGTTTGATCGACCTAAAATATCAGTATCTATTTTGTTTCCAGTGGATGGGGAAAAAAACATAAAAAGGTCGGTATTTTTTATTCTTTCAGGAGAAGGAAGATAACATGTGCGATGATTTAATGTGTATGCTTCATATGTACTATTACGCCTGTGCTCGACCCGAAATACAACAGGTGGATTGCATAAATCAAAAAATATTTCGCAGGGACTTGAACCTATATTGATAAATATTTTCCTGATGTTATTATAAGTCATAGAAATTTTGTAATGGCTATACTGTATCTCAAGATTTCGTATATCATGATAGAAGTCGATTTCACATGAAGAAGAAGACAACGAGGCGTACTGAAGATAGGTTCCGTTATGAGGTAATACACCAAATGAAATATCACTACACTGTACAGAGCGATGGGATGGTATTCGTTTGTTTACAAAGCTATCATTTTCATGTAACGCAAGTATTGGACAATAATTAGGGAGATGCTGATTCTTCCATTTTTTACAAACGTCTCTATACAAGCCAGCTTTTTGAAATTTGAAATTATTAGGAAACATAGCTTGTACTTGAATCGTTAATTCCTCGATTTCAGGATAATCTTCATCTTCAGGCCTTTTTAGATTTACAAAATTTACGTTATTGACGACTAAGCCACATGCTTCAAGTTTTCTCTTTGTTTCTTGCAGGTACGAATCAGGTTCCACATTTTGAAACTTCAACGGAACGATAACTACTCTGAAGTTGAGCTCATCCATCCTAAAAAACAGATCAATAAAGACACTTACAATATATTTTACATATTTTAACAATTCACAGTTATAACGTATTTTCCCTACTTTTTAACCAAAGCACAGAATTAATATAAGATTGTAAATTAAAAAAATTCAGACAGGATTTCACAGTTCATCTTTTCATACATGTTCTTCCCAAAGGTTTGCTTTTAAGCTGTTCAAGAATTTGGATAAACCAAATAAGCAAATTGTAAGCGAGTAATTATTTATCGAAGCAGAAAATGAGAAAAATCAGCAATGATCTCGCCGGAATTCGAACTTGAGATTGCTAGTCAGATCAACTTCCAATTACACCAAGAAAGAACGCGGTAAAAAAGAAGAAAATGTCTTACATTCTGCTTCACTTAAAGGATAACTGGGGAGGAAAAAAGACTCACTCATCTAATCCAGGTTTAATGAATTATCGCCCAGCATATATCAATCAGGTGCCACTTTAGTACCACCACCACCACTCTTGTAGAAAGCTCAGATCGTATAAATTTACGAGTGACAGAGAAAAAACTCAATCAGGATGTTGGGGATTTAGTTTTTGAATTTAATAGTTAAAAATGCTTTGCTTCTTTGCGTACCACCCGTTGAGAACCTCTGCTTAAATGATTTTCTTTACGCGCCCTTTCAAAATCTTTCTTTGAGAAATTTTCTCTTCATCAAGTAATTCACTTAAATTTTCAATACCATTTTATAAAGAAAAATATCAACACCGTATATATAAGGGCACTTCTAAACATTGGTTAATATTCACAATTTGCAAATTTATTATGGGCTTAAACACAGGGTTGTAACAGGACAAAATTCTATTTATTTTAAATTGTTTTTTTAATTAGGTTCACAGAAGTTTTAAAATTACATGTAAAAGAAAGACATTTTGAATGAAAACTTTTAGCGAAATATTTATACATTTAAAAAAGAAGACATATTAATGAAAACACCATTAGTGCTAATATGAAGCAGTAATGTAATATAAAGCATTAACCAAAGTGAATATATCAATTTAGAGATGATGTTCGCTATTCATCAATTTAAAATTAGTCCTGAAGAGGGTCATTAATTGATCGTACATTTTTGCAAAACCTTTGTCTTTTTCACACACATATACACTATATTTCCAAACATGGATGTTATGAAAATATACATGCTTAAGTCCCAGGATGTTATTAATAATAATATATTCTATTAACTATACCTTTGGAGTAACAGCTGACCACATCCGAAACAGAAACATTTAAATTAAAATTTTAGCGGTAAAGGTATTTTAACATTTTGTTGTAAAAATACTGAAAATGCAAGTCTCTATTTAAACTCAGCTTGTAGTATTCTTTGGATCGTTCAGTTTGAAGTATTCTTAAAATGCATTCCTTCTATACATGAATAATAAATATTAAACTCTTAAAATAACGCAATAGAGTAATAGTAATAGAATAGGAAAATACTACTTTACGAACAACTAAATTTTAAAATTAGTAAATTACAAAGATATACGTGTATCACACCAAAATATGCACATAAAAGCAGCAGTGTTTACAGGAATTAAAATATAATATTCTTCAATGAGATGGAAGAGATATCTAACCAAAGATATTAATCTAATGCTCTACATTTCGCGTTTATAGTAGATCATCGACGACTGTAAAAATGTGTTTTGGAGCTGTCCTGACAATACTGGCCAATAACGCGTGTTTCGATACTCCATGAAGTAGTATTCTCATTATTCACTCCAAATCCCCACGAACCCCGTACGAACGTGAAGGAAGAAAATAACGTAACAACTGGTGTCAGAAAAGAAAAGCGCAACAACTGGTGTCAGAAGTGGGATTTGTGAGCGAATGCCAGTGACAAACCATGCAGAGGAAACCTATGGCGGAGGAAACGAAGACTTTGATGGACTTCTTGGCTGAGATGAAAGCCGGACGGGAAGAGATGAAAGCTGAACTGAAAGAGATAAAAGCTGGATATAAAAAGATGGACAGCTGAGATCAAAGCCGGACTAAAAGAGATGACAACCGGACCGGAAGACGCCCGACGAGAAGAAATAAATGTCGGCCAAGAAAAGGTGCGAGAGCAACTCCAACAGATGAAAGTAGAGTTTACAGAAGATATTGGAGGCATAAAAAACGATGTGGAAATGAGAGAAGTAGCAGTTGAAGAATCAAATTATGAAGAAATGAAAAGAGTAGCTAATGAACGGTCTGAGAATGATCAAGAAATGAAGGATGAACCGTCTAACGAGATTAAAGAAAGAGATCGACAAGATGAAGAAATGAAAAGCGGGAAAGAAGGTTATGATTCTCATGTGCCTGAAGTAAATACAGAAAAAGTGAAAATGCGACTGTTAAGTTCAACGAAACTGATAGTGAAATGACGAAGTCTCAGTTAGCAAGGATTGAACCATCTGAAACTTCATGTGATGCAGAAATGGGAAAAGCTTATATACAGCTTAAGCAGTGTGCTCCAGTATTGCAGAAAATTCATCCCACTGTGCAAACTATGTGTGCGTACTCATGGTGCTGATTTTGCAGACAAGGACTTGATTCTAAACCTGAAACTTCTGTTTGTAAAGGATCGGATTCTATTCATGACCCTGGTGCAACATCGGAACTGGCTTTCAGAAATAGAGGTAAATAAGCATGTACCATCTGCTAAAAATACCAAGGTAAGCTGTAAGCATGCTGCGAATGAACTACAGAGTGGTGAACAAACTGTCTCATGGATGGCAAGTCTGAAAGGACTGAATCTTCAGACTGTGACATGAAAAACAGAAATGCATTTGAGAACTGCAGTGGAAAAGCGTTTGACCTGGGTATAAATAATGAAAAGAATGAGATTGAAATTTATTCTTAAATTTAATTTTATAATTTAAAATTGTGATGTGTTTAATTTGTGTATGTAACTTGTACATAGTGTAAATATCTGTTTCTGTAGTTATGTTATTTATTTATATCTTATGCTTGTTTCATTACGTTTTGTTTGTATCGAATTAGGCTTCTCACCAAGGGTTGTACGGCCCGGGACTTGCAGTCCTTGGGAGAGGGCAGTGCTACGAAATGTACAATTGCGGTGGGATAGCTTCCCCGCAAAGCAATTTTAGTGTTGCCATAAAATAGCAAAAGAATGCAGAATTACCACATTTGGGGTGAAATCGCCCATTTGGCGACAAAATTGGCGATATGCCATGGACGGTTGGAGAACCTTCTGGAACGAATTCTTACCGATTTAGCCCAGAATGTTCTCGAACACAAGCCGAAAGCTATATAAACCCTGCTGGTCCCAGTCAGTCAGTGTGTGTGTCTGTGTGCCTCGAGAGTACGAGATAGTTAGTATCGAGTTGGTGTCTCATCTAGCGAGTCAATCCCTGCGGAGTCGATCGAGTTGACAGCTGGGCAGCGAGTGCCGAGTGGGTCGTCGACTGCACCGAAAGAGTCTCGTAGTGTATGACGGTTACTGCATCGTCGAGAGAGAGTGCTTTGAGGTCCGGGAATGACTGAACCGAAGAGTTGGGAGCTGTGCTCTGTGTGTCGTCGAGTGCATCGTGAGTTTTAGCGTGGAGAGTCTCGAGAGTACTTGGAGTTCCGAGAACGACCAAGCAGAGTCGGGAGCTGTACTCCAGTGCTTTGCAGTGAAGCTGTCTCCACCGTGATAGCCTAATAACCTGGAGGCTGCGTCGCTGCTGATCGTGTCAGCATGCTTATAGTAGTTCATCGACGACTGTAAAAACGTGTTTTGGAGCTGTCCTAACAATACTGGCCAATAAAGTGTGTTTCGGTACTTCATCAAGTAGTATTGTCATTGTTCGCTCCAAATCCTCACTAACCCGTACGAACGTGAAGGAAGAAAATAACGTAACAACTGGTGTCAGAAGAAAAACGTAACAATATTATTTATGGCTTCTAAATATTAAAAATCAATTCAATTTTGAGTTTTTCTTTAAGTAAAAATTTTATTGTTTATGATACTTTATATAATTTTATGTTGTGGATGATGTAATACATGACGTCACCTTGCTTTACAAGTAATTGGTTTAATTCTATAATTTAGTGGATGATTAATCCATGACGTACCTGCTTTAAAAGTAATTGGTTTTAATATCTAAATTTAATCTAATGTTTTTAAACATTATTTATGTCCTGTTAAATATTTAAAATACAATTTAATTTAGCATTTTTTAATGATTTCATTATGTATGATTATTTAAATATTTTTAATTCTATGCGTGATGTAATCAGCTCCTTGATTGGTTAGTGAATATTTGTACATTACCGCGCCATTTTAAAATTTTATTATTCATCTCTTCGAATTCCTTAGATTTCATAAGGAACGGATATGTCCCTTTCAAAGATTAATGTTATTATTTGTAAGTACCAAGAATTATTGGTTTCGGAATCAAAAGATTGTCCTTTAAGACCTTATTTTGGTCAGCCTGGCTTTCCTACTCAAATACTTATTTATAAATTGTTACAAGGGTCAGAGGAAATTTATTTTAAATTTTTGGAGGAAACCTCGCGAATTGCTTCTGCAATGAAGTGCGAGAAATGCGGATCACAGATGAAGATCGTTAGCCGATTTTGTGGACGGCCATATATGGTACTGTGGTCATGGGTGGGAAGCGCTGTAACGGTAAAAAATGTATTAGACATTCCTCCTTTTTTACCGGCAATGAACTAATTGCTGTCATTTTAACTCTAGTGTATGAAGCGTTCTTATTTACTTATTTTAAAGTATTTGAATTTAAGTAATATTTAAATTATTTTAAACATTGGTATGATGGTTTTTAATTCGATATTCAGCTTAAGTAATATTTTAATTCAATTAAAGGTTGGCGCAATGTTTTTATAGCGGTGTTTTTATTCTATTTCACTGCTATAAGAAAGTAATAATTTAACCTTACTTTAGTATTTTATACTCGTAGTAAATGTGTTTATTTACATTTGCCTGCCATCTTAAAAAACGTTTTCAACAAAAAATTAATCTATCACTTTTAACGAAT